GGACACGTAGCAGAGAACACTGGTGGACCTGATTAGTCAAACATACAACCATAAAAAAATAAGCCACCAACACACAGTCAGTTTAGTGTCTTTGGATCGGAGAAGGAAGCCTCAACGAAACTGATGCAAACACATGGAAACTTAATGAAAGCCCTAAATTCTGACTGTACAAAAAAAAAGAAATCCTGGATCGAACCAAAACCAAAGCAAAGAGGAACCTGAGCACGTTCACGTTAACAGACGTTCAAAGAGAGAGTTGATAACTCCCTGTACTCCCTGTTCTGTCACATTTCACTGTTTTAGCCGTAAAGTTGCTCCTGTCAGTGTTGGCGCTGTGATGTTGTTGTCCTTTCTACTGTCGTGCTGCACCAACGGCACACTTCTATTGTTCTGTGAAGCTCTGAACACAACACCAGCGCAGCCTCCTAACCTCCCAGCATCAGACCAGATTCCCTCCACTCAAGGTCAAGAAGTGGTTGAGCTGTGCCACGGTGTTATTTGATTAGTGTGAAAAGCCAGTGCAGCAACAGTGACATCATTCAATTAGAGGTGGATGAAATCAAATAAGTGAAGGGTGGTGTCCATATCCAGCTCTGCAGTCTTCAGGGCAGAGCCAGGAGGATTGGTGAACCTCCATGATGAGCATGGCATGAAGAGGGAGATGAGAAACATACAAAAAAACATTTGTTTCTAAAAACTGCACAGTGGGAGAACGACGAGGGAATGTTGCCGACGCTCACGGTGCTGAAGCAGACAGTTCACAATAACAATGGAAACTATTTTACAGACAGAGACTGAGTACGTGTTGTTGCTTTAAGATTCCACTCTGAGCACAACACGGCCGTAAAACTTTACCTCCACAGTGTCACACTTTTTTATTTCATATTTTCTAATGTGTAGGAAAGTAAGTCAGTGCAGACCAAAAAACAAAACATCTGAATTTAAAGTAAGAGTCCTTATGATCACAAGACAAATCAAGAAAGATCAGATCAGATCTGCAGTCAGTTCCTGACACTTGAAGTAAATGCAAACAGAAACTGTTCTTTCGCCTTGGAGGTTCTCCATAATGTTTGCACTCTTGTAAACCTAAAACGGACGAGAACAGAGTGAAGATGGCATCTTTGAGTGCTCTCAGGAACTCTGCTGTCTAATAAACTTAGAACCACTACACGGATGGAGCCAGACCCGAAGTGGTACGTCATGACAAATACTGGCTTCAAACAGCACTCAGCTATTAATGCAACTAAAAAACTGCTCCATTTAAAACCACAAAGAAAGTCCTGATGCAAGTCAAAAGAGAAAACAGTGTCGTTCTGTTGTCTTCAATAGAGTTACTTATATAAACTGAAGCAGATTGACTGAAATGTCTGGCTCCTTTCATCACACGTGCATGTTTGGAGAGGCCTATAAAAGGTGAGCGCTTGCATAATCAAAGAAAAGTCAAGAGCTTCTTAGGAAAGGCTGAGATTACATAAGGTATTTGCCTGAAGAGGATTCAACTGTCTGTTTATCAAAAGGACACCCTCTGTCCTCAAACACTTAGACATGGAGGACTGAGGAAGATGAGAGCCTGAGGAGGATGAGGGCCAGTATGTCAACATTAGCACTTGACAAATAAGAGAATGCAACATGCATTTTATTAAAGAAAATGTAAGGCTTAGGAACAAAACATCTTGAACCATGGAGGACTGCAGATAGAACTAGTCAAAAAGATGGAGAAAGACGTGAGGGGCCGGGACATCTGGAGGAACAAAGACGTAGATCTAGAACATCTGGATTGAGGTGTTAGAACTGAAGGACCAGTAGAAGAACAGGAGAGCCGGTGGTAATGGATGGAAGAAAATAGAAGAAATGTATGTAAATAATTGAAACTGCATTGTCCAGATCTGAGTCACTAAATATTAGCATAACGCTAAGATTCAGAACTTTGTTATAATGGAAAGATGATTTGTGTTTTCAAACAAATCCAGCCCCCACTGATAATCACAAAGAAAAGAGAATGAAGTCCGAGCTCACCACATACAGTACCTGTTAACTAGTCTAACTGAGTGGATCATGCACTGATCTGAGGTCAGTTCATCATCTGGTTCCAGTTGGATTCTAATGTGGTAAAAGGCAGTGAACTTTATGACACACCACTAACAGCCCCGACATGACTGTCCTGCCCACAGACAGGGCCACAAGACGAGGCTTTTAACCTCCAGCAGCAGTCAGCAGAAATGAGCCACTGCTGTGTTGACCTGCACCGATCTGCATGTGTTTTTTCATCAAGAAAATTCTGGGCAGGAGATGTGAGAGTGTAGGAGCAGCTGTGTTTGTGAGGAGCAGGCAGACATGTGTGTTGAGTCTGTGCCCAGTATACCCTCCTAAAACCCAACAATGCTCTTGGCCAGACGATGTTGCTCCACTTGTAAATGAGTTCAACATCCCAAAGAAAGACCTACAACACACACGTCGGGGAGATGTAATGCTGTTTAAACAAGGGTTAGTCTCAGTGGTCACCAGGTTGCAGCGGAGCACAGAGAGGAGCTGTTTACACAGAGACACAGAGACACTTCAGTCAGACTCGACCTCCGTGACAAATCTCTCAGTTTGGGTTTTTCCATGAGCAGAGAAGTGACACTGGAACTGCACTGAAAATTTCGGTTTGTTACCTCGC